CATAGATGATCTACCCATACTGAGGAATTTATTTTGTGATTGATAGAAACATTACTGTATAGTAATAACAATAAAATACTGTTTATAAAACAACTTACATTACAAACAAGGCCCAAACAAGCCAATATAAAATGACTAATACTGAATCATGGGCAAGCAACCCTGAGATGTGAAGGCAGCAATCACACAGCACAGAGCATGGCTGCTCTAGAGTAAAAGGAAGAAATGTTGATTTATGACCAGCCTCTGAGGCATAGGTAATTATTAATACCAGTGCTTATGTATACACATCTCCAGCTTGTGCTTTTTTAACCCTATCTAAGCAGAAGCAGTAAGACTATCAAATTTTACAAATTCACATAGCTCCATGTACCCTTATAAATCAGCATAAACATCAGAATTCCACTGAAAAAAAAATATCAAAAAAAATCCCCAAACCAAACATGCAAGGAACATAGTACAATAAAGACATGCAAGAGTTTTTATTCTTAAATTAATCCATAAACAAAATTCCTTTAACTTTCTTCAAGCTAGCAATTCTTGGTTTTGTGTACAACTTCCCTGCCCTTTTTTTTTGTTTTTCCTTTTCTGTGTCAAAGGCCTAATATGTTCCATGGTCTCTTAATCAAGGACACAAATTTGCTTGCTGTCAAGTGAAAAAAACACTATAAACATACATAAAATTAAAAACAAGGCCTTTCACAAGAACAATTTCACAGTGACTGGCAACCATACATCAATATAACAAAAGCCTTAGAATAGATGCTCTTCTCAAAAATTATCTTTTTTTCCCGGAATCTTAAATTACTGCATTAATACAAGTAGCCCTAAGGTGCTAAAACACCACCAAGAAAAGCTTCCAATACACAAGCTCAGCCCTTGAATAGAATCAAAGCAATCTTTGACTGACTCTGTGGCTAATATCCCACACCCAAATTGTTGTTTTGTTACATAACAACACTAGAGGAAAAATTAAGATGGAAACACATGGTAGTTTATGAAAAATAGGTTTGAAAAAAATTGTAGACTATTTCACAATTCAAAATTCCAGTAACACAGCAATTGCTTTTCACCATAATACACTGGGGAATGGACACTAATAGCCATTTAATATTCTAAATCAATCCTATCATACGACACAGGGACAGTCTTCTTAATAACGTTACATCAAAAAGGCAAGAAAAGATACATTAATCAAGAGCAGAAGACAACAGCATAGTCTTAAAAACAGACCTCAGGCTTCTCACGCAGGCTTAGCTCCTTAACTATAATCGCTACCCTAGAGCGACCCAGTCCAACGCTCAGACTTAGCGAGCTTACTGCAGCCTTCGGGCCCTGTCCTGGCTGCCTGGGGCTATGGATGCTGCACCGCAAACAAGAGCTCTACCGCTCAGCTGAGTTGTGGCTCTTCGCAGAGCAACTGATCACGACGACTCGGAAGGAAGGTGAGCAAGACAGAATCACCATCTCCAGAATACTTTACTGGATGGACCTGCTTTAAGGCAGAGAATAAAAAGACTGAAATCTCCACGGTTTCAGCATCTCATGAGCCAGAAGGATTGAACAGTGTTTGTTAGAGAAAGCGGAAGAGTTTCTCTCATCTGGCTTACATGTATATGAGAGAAAGAGAGCTCACTTCAAACTAAGCCTACTGTCAGGGATCTGTACTCTGCTAAACACATCCGTAACAGGTCAATTAAGAGAAATTACTGGGTTTGCTCAAAAGAAAAGTGGCTCACATCTGCTTTCTTTATAATAAAATCTGTCACTTGGCACTGGATATATTTATTTTGCCATAGAAACTATAAGATGTGTTAAAAAATAAAGAAGAGTTTTGCCCACCACAGCGCACTGTAGGTGGCTAGCAGAATCGCACATGGTATCAGCCAACCCTTAAACGTCGTCACAGCATCTCACAGTTATTCAACTTCTGCAACTTCTACCTTTCCCATCTCCGCCCTATCTGGAACATTGTCAACATACATCAACCATTTCTGTGGAGGTCATGTATACTAATCACCAAGAAATCATAAGTCCATAAATCACTAACAAAAATAACAGTAAAATTAGCATTATCCCAAACACAGTCACTTAACTGCCATTTTTTGCAGTTTTATGAAAAGTTTATACAACTAAACACTACTCTGTTTGCCACTGTTTTCATATGACTCGCACCCTGTGATCATTTAAGCAAATTAAATCAACTTCTATTGTTTAAGGAAAGACACAGCTGGTCACACAACAGCAATTATCTTGCTTTTCTTTGAGTAACGCATTAACTGTGACAATAACAGCACAGTGAGCTGCTGCCAAAACCACATCATATAGCTGTTGAGATACCTCAGACAAAGTTTTGTCCGTTTGCATAGATGAGGCAGAATTGCAGTTATCAAGATGGGAATCAGCACAGTCTAAATAGAATAAAGAATAGAGTTGGGAAACCTTGATTTTCTAATCTCTGTTTCTCCTCTGGCTTTCAATTTATTCCATCAACTTGGAAGAATAAATTTCTCAGTAGCCAAGCTTCTCCACCTGTAAAATGGGGTTATTTTCCGATGTGACTTTCTGAATCTATGTACACTTTCTGGAATTGTAATGTGCTGCTTGCTCCTGATTCAAATGTTCTTGCCCTCTGAATACCACTGAATAATGAAGCTTAATAAAGATTTCAGACAAAGTATGAAATAATGTTTGTAAATGTGAACATAATTTTGAGGATGAGAGCTTTCTCTTAGATTTTTTCTTTTTGAAGATGGGAGGCATAAGAAATAGCTTTTCTCTTTTTGCTTTTCTAGTTCTATTTATATAATTTTTGTCATTAGAGGGTAAGGTCCCTTCGAGCTCTGCTTTATTACACCTTGCATCTTCAGAAAAGCAGTTATTGAAAAACAGGAAATGTAGTCTTAACACTGCTGTGGTGGGGCTTATCTTCACTTGAGTTACTCCTTGCTTGCTGATGGCTAATTAACTCAGAGTAATTTAAACCTTTATGAAGAGGGGTTTGAATATCACTTAAACTTTTGGTGCAGCCGTTGATTTGCCTTTATTTTACTAATAATCACAAAGGGCACAGCCAGATATCCTTGTGTACATTCACCCAATGCATCTTCAAAAAAGTACAAAACCCAGTGGTTTGCTGGTGGCCCTCAGCCAAGAAATAATTTTACTCCCTCCCTGCCCTCCAGCAGACCTACAGTTATCAACCACGTGCTTATTCAGACCACTTCAGTGGAAAGGACCACAGCAAACCGCTGCCATAACTGTTCTGCATTGCCTCATGTGCATACGTGATCCATTCTGGAAGCTACAAACTCAGTATCTACCAGTAGATGACCAAATACTTCCTAAAATTTTACTGCAATTTCAAAAGCAATCATCTGACCATGCTTACATAGTTTAGCGTGCTCTCTGCACAGCCCCAAGTCCTAGAAAGAATAAGGTGACACGTCAATTTTGCATCTTTCGTGGAAAATAAGCAGGGGGGGAAAAAAAAAAAAAAAAATCACCTGACTTGCATACAATTACAATGCGTATTTTTTCTTTACCATTGTTCACTATGAGAAATTAATACCAACAAAATAAACCTGGATTTGGGTACACCTCAAGAGCAAATGCTATATATAAAACACCTACACTACTCTGCCAGCTTTAACAAAGTGTTTCAGCAAGAGTTTGGAGGAACTACTGTAAATAAAAGGGAAACAATCTACCCAGTCCAACAAACTACTATGCTAACATGATCAAAACCAAAATCAGTATGGGTTAATTCCCATACTAATTCTAATTCTATGCTGAGTAATGGGTAAGCTCATTGGAAACCACATTTCAGAGAGCCACTGAACTACTGACAAGCCGTTTCAGAGCACAGATACTGCACATAGAACATGAACCTTCAACCCAAAAGCTGGAATGTCTCTGGGCCACTGCTGCAACGCAAGATCCTCCACGCACATCTCTAGGTTTAAAAGAAGTATTTGGAGCAGTAGTGCTAACCTTCAGGTGGAAACATAGACCTACAGACGAAATATTTTCTCCAGGTAACCCACAACTCCAGTTTTGAAATCTAGACTCATACACATTTGTCTCATTTCATGTCTTTGAAGTGTTTTGGCTCCTTCCACATGTTTTTCAATAAAGCTTGTTAAAGTGCAACAGGTAAGATGCCATGAAAACAGGGAGCGCTGATCAAACACCGGTCACAAATTATCTTCTCAACCTACGAAAGCCATTGCAGATTATAATTATAATAAAAATGAAATTATAATAAAAACGTTCTTCCCCATGTACTGGTATGAGAAAACATGATGCTACCAATGCGTTCCAGACAAAGGCTGCATGCACTTAAAAAAAAAAATCATAAGACAACCCCGTCTTGTTCATTTATATCTGAGGTTTTAAGAACACTATTCAACATAGTCACTAAGATGACTGATGCTGAGCCAGACCCAAAACATACTACAGACTCAAAATCCTGTCTTTTAACACCTCATGGTCACTGCAGAGCATCTGGAAATATAATTTATTGCATGTGTACAATACTGGGAGTGTTCCAAGTGGTAGGACCCATGGAAAAATAGAAATACATCCTATTTTTAAGAAGGGATCTTAGTATTTTTGACATGCACTGCTTTTGTGTCAAGTTTTTGCCTTGTTAAGCCAAGGGCCTCGCTTAGTGTTTATTCAACAGGCTTTTCCTTTTCGAGATCTCTAGCACTAAGACAGCGCACTAGAAAAAAATGTAATTGCAAAGGCTGGCCAACACTCGTAGGATTACTTCATGAACAGGAAAAAAAAAATCCACTGGATGGCCTCACATACTTAGAAATGGCAGAGACAAAACACTACTTTTCTGTTCTAAAATATCTCACTGCAGAGGATAGTTTGAACTTTAAAGTCACATGATGAAACCATAGGTTTGCTAAACATGCAACGTGTATGGTTTGAATGACTTAAACCAAGTTCCTGTTTCCTTTACAGAACCGTATGTTTTTGTAGCCAGCGAGCTGCCGGATTTTTCATTATCATGTACAGCAGCTAAAGAAGTTATTGTAATATATACACCCTGCTTTCTACATAAATAAAAAGGGCTATATGCTCCAAACAATAATTGTATTTCATCTGACTGTTCACAGTGAAAGTCTCAGCCTGTTGTATCTGTGGAGCATTTTCTTGAAAAGGTAAGTGCTTTATATTACTTTGAATATGCAATGTTTTATTCATCACATGAGGCTCAAATTGTGAAGCTAAGATTGTAATTTAAAGTTTTTAGTTTTCCCTTCTTTAACAACATTTGAACTACACAAAGTAAAATACTGTATCTGGGAAGCACCCTCAGAGATCTGAGATTTACGATAAAGCTGAAATTTATAATAAAACTGAGCATTAGATAGAGTAAATGTGAAGACTGTTTTCCAGTAAGTACTTAACTCCCATTGAACTGATGATAGCTAGATGATGAAATACTGTTCAGTAGTCTGGAAAAAGACTCCAACCATTGCCTAAGAGCAGTCTTTTAAGGGATGGACATTATTGGATAATCCTAACTACACTGCAGGAATTGTATAGGACAGGAAACACATCGACGATGCTGCTTGGAGACTATGTTCAGTTACTGCTGATTCATTTATATTCTGGAAAAGTAAAAACAAAAAGCTTTCGGTTTCTCAGAAACCCGTAATTTTTCGGAAGTTACAGAGAGAATTTCTTAAGTCTTTACAACCTCAAATATTTGCCCAAGCGTAGACATTTTGACACTACAAGAAAGATGACTATAAGTATTTTACACTTCAGTCTTTCAGATATTGCAAGCTGCCCCCATCTTTTAACTTGGCAGACATAGTTCAAACGGGACAAATTCACCCCCAGATGATGTGCAGTGTTTTCACGGGTCGATGCAGGACATGCGCACCAAGAGCCGAGTTTCACAAGAACAACATGCATATTGCTTTATGACTAGATGAAAGAATATTTTCCTTCTAAAGGCTGGTGACAGAATGCAGAAAGAGTGCCCTGCCAAACTTTTATAGAGGGAGAGTTCTGGCTGCCAGAGAGAAACTCCCCATTTTAGGAGCTCTTCTTTCTAGACTTTAAATAAACAAAAGTTTCCTTGAAACCAAGCTCTCTGTTTGCAAGAGTTAACCATCAAAGTGGGGCTGGGGGACCAAAAACAATGAAATCTTAGAGACTAGGTCCTCTCAGTACTGAAAGCAGTTTTTTCACCGCTTGCTATTTTTAAACTGCCTTCTGAACACTGTGCTCATTTGCTCAGCTCCATCTGTTGGAAGTGAAGGATAACGTATTCGCTGTGCTTCAGAAAGTAAAAATCAAACGTATCTGCTTTCACTGCCGACACAAAAGGCAGAGTGGATGATAGTGGGGAAACAGGGCCAGAAAAAGGAACAAAAAAAAAAAACCCACCACAAGGAAAAAAGCAAGGCCACATGAGTTAAGGAAGGATTCACAACATGCCGATGATGGTCAATTAAAGCAAAGTGAGGGGCAGCAGAGGTAAATGAGGGACAAAATATTGGAGCACAACATTACAGGGAAAGATACTGCAAGTAGCATATTGCAAATTCCCCTCAATAATTAATCTTAGGAGAAGCAGGAATAGGCCTGGGTTCTGCCATAGCTTCAATATATGTGAGCTTTGACACACTATATATTAGTCTGAGTAACCAGTGAGCATACAGAAATAACAAAGTCAGTTTACATCGTAGTATGTTGTGAGGGGGAAAAAAAAAAAAAAAAATCATTCAGGTCTCGAGGTGTTTGCACTCTAAACTTACAGATTCCACTAAAAGAGTAAAGGACTCGGGCCCCCCACCAAGCAGAGCATAAACATTACATGTATTTTGAAATAAAACGTATGTTCCTGCAGTAAATCCAAGAACCAGACAAGAATGGAGGGAATACCAGATTTTCTCACAGCAGAGGAAAATGACATAATAAATTCCTCATTTTTTTATGATGGAAACTCAAGAGTATTTTGACAAAAAACATGGTCAGCTGCATGGAGATTCTGCTATAAAAGGTGAGAAATAAACCACCCTCCAGTGCTCTGGAACATTGTCTTTTTCTTTAAAATAAATTAGTATTACCAAAAGTTATGAAAATTTGAAAATATGTTCATCTTACTACAACAAAAATTGTGAGCTCCTTCATCCCATTGTTATTCTGAGCATATATCTACTTCAGCGCAAGGAATGAACTTAATGCTTTGGGAACGTTTTAAAACTGTAAAGGCTTAACAATTTCTAAGAGTTGCTTTACATGATAGATGAGCACCTTACAGTCATAAGACTCTCTAAAGCTATCCATTCTGATGTAAACAAATGTTTAGAGAGGTGATGCCATCTGTGACTATATTCAATCAACCGGCTGCAGAGGCTGCAAAGGAGTCAGACTTTTCTGACGGGGTCCAATTTATAATCTCAGCTAGAAAGCCATAATGCAGCAACTTCATGAGGTGATGAGCAATACATCTTTGTAAGCTGCTATATAGCCTCAAATTTCACTGAAATAGTTATGAAGAGACAAAATATTGCAAAAAAAAAAAATTTGATTTGTAGGATAAGGTCGTAAGCCAGAAATATGTATCTAGGTGTGACCACGTTAGAAGAACGCACGAGAATTAGCTTGTATGAAGTATCAGACACGTTCGATTGCAGCCACCTGCACAGAACCTTTCCTATCAAAACCTGAACTCAATATTGCCACTTGCTCTCTTTCAAACACTCAGTGACACCAGAACCAAATAAGCAAATAGTCTGACATTATTGCTGTGATTTTACAGCATTAATAATAAATAATAATAATAATTAATAATAAACCAAAAATATTGCAGAATAAGCTACCAACTGCTAGCAGGTATTTTTTCTTCTGTGATGAACAATTCAATTACAAGCAAGCATTATGCTCATACTGACTGACCACAGCAAAGTTGCAAACAGTTTGTTGTTTTGGTAAAATTGTTTCTGTGGGTAATCTTAAGGTGATTTTCTGGAATTTCCCTTTAAAACAGCACACACAGAAATTTTTCCTTAAGTCAGAATGTTAATACTTGCACTATTATAATTATACACATATAGTTGCACTCTTATTTCCCCCCAAATATTTTAATTCTAGGTTGAATAGTTTACATTTGTTTAGTTTAAATCCCCCCCCCAGATGAGGTAAGTTAAAAGACACACACTTAAGTTAGAATAACAATGTTGAGGTTAACCAACCAATAACACCATTGTTATTATTTAACAGTAACGTTCAACAATGGTCTATGGTTATAAACAAGAGTTGCAAACCCAACCGAACCTATTTCAGGCATTCATCTTGACACCTGTAACAAATGAGGCCTAAGCACATCAATACTGTGCTGGTCCATCATTAAAATATCACAACATGCGAACTGGTGGATACAGAAGGAGAAACCAAGATGGATCCTGTTTGGATTCACTTTCTTACCCAGTAAGTTGCCATTACTGGAATATGGTTGCATTAAGTCTAGTATTCCTTACTTTGTCTTAAACGCCCAAAAAGTAGCTAAATAAAATAAAAAATACCTTGCTATGGTCAAAGATGGACACAGGCACAGTTCCAAGGCTAAATCCTGAGCAAATTTAACCAAGTTTTGGCATCTTGTTTTTCCTGTCATTTGATGTAAGGCCATATAATTTCCTGTGAAACCAAAACTATGTCCTTCATTTCCTTTGCAATTATGCTACCATAAAAGTGTTGCTAAGCTATTCTGAGATTCTCCGCAAGGACAGTGAGTGTGGTTAATTGGCCCATGATGTAAAAGTTGTTGAGAAGATAACGGAAACCTTCACAGTGCCAGAACTAAATTCCAATGTTCAATCCTGCAAAAGGCCTGATGGGTCTAGAAAGTCTCACTGGAGACTCTGGTGAAAGCTTCTCAAAATGTAAATGTTTCTTAACCTCCTGAAACTACTGTGTGAGATGATAACGACAAGCTTTCTGCAAGATGCTCAAAGTGGTTCCACATTCTCTTTCTCCATCTGTCACAAAGTACCTATCCTTTGCCAGATTAAGCTTCAAATCTCTCTTCTAATAGAAGGTAAAAATTTGACTTACACTGTTTCCTTCATTCTTGAGATCTCTCCTGAGTACTTAAGAAGACATGAATTGTAGAAGTTAGAATTTCATGGTCTTTAGATTTCCAGGAAATAGTAAAGAGAAATCGAAGCAGCAGAAGGAAGCCTGAAGAAGCAAGCCTGTGGAGCTCCATGGCTGCAGCTGAGCGAATAGCACAGCAGATCTCTTTCAGCCATAGAGCCAAAGGGAAGCGAGAGCATTGCAGCTACCTGATTAACAAGACATTTTCTTGATTCACACACATACACAGTGTTTCAGTATTAAGCATGGAATGTAATTTAAAAATCAGACTGATCAACTTTGTTTCGAAAGAGATACTTTGAAATCAAAATCTAGAAGGGGGAACTCACTAGTATGAAGAAATACAAAAGGCCAACCAGTTGACCACACTTGTGAGGTTTTGTGTGTGGTTTGGGTTTGGTTTCTTTTCTTTTTAATTATTCTCACTCTTCAGTTTGAGCACTTTAGTACAAACTTGAGTCCTTCTTAGTGGTTTATATTAAAAATCAGCTGAACAGAAACAAAAGCTCTACTGCAAGCATCTAAGATACATTTCCTCAATTAACAAGACAACAGTATTTCTTCCCAACACCTGTCATCTTTGAAAAGATTTTCACTCCATTCTTCTTAAGATTGTTCATTATATTGACTCTTAACTTGCTTCAGAGAATTCTTTGCCCATCAACGCTTTCTTACATGTGTACTAAGCTCAGAGCTTAGAACACAGCCAGAGTCCAACCAGCCAACTCTTCCGCTCCTGCAAGCGTACGCATAGCACAGAAACTTCCCTGGGTGCATCAGTCGTCCTATAGTGGAACCTCTCCAAAAATAACCTTTTGGTTATAAGGAAGAAACTCTGTCTTTAAAAGGGAACAAAGAACACTGCTGAATCAAAACATAACCCTGTAGTTTTATATAAGTGAAATTATAATTATATAAGATTATATACCCACTTAATCAAAGCCACTTTGATAAGTCAAGTTTTCTAATTAAAACCAGTATTAGAATTCCAATTTGAGGAGAGATTAGAAATATCAGAAATATGAAGTAGTGTCAGAGGTAACAACCATAAATGAACTGTCAAACAGTATTAAGACACTGACTTATCTATAATGAACACTGCTTAAAAACATTAATATTTCTTTATGAACTTTTACCAATTTAAAGTTACTTTCACTTTAAGAGTTAACATCACTAGAATCCCTTTACGGAAAATGTATTATGTACAACTAAGTATATCACTCTTGTTACTCCTATGACTGTACCGAAACTTCTATAAGAACTCCACTGTCCTGTCTTTGCCTATGTACTGTCTGTGCACATTGCTTGTACAGACCAGCTTTGCATACAATGCAACAAATAAAAACACCAAACTCTAATTGAACACAAAATTGAAATCCTTGTGAATAAAGATTTTTTTTTTCCCAGAAAACAACATTTCACACTGTAAAAATGCCTATTATAAGTTTAACATTGAACACAAAATTGAAATCCTTGTGAATAAAGGGGTTTTTTTCCCCAGAAAACATTTCACACTGTAAAAATGCCTATTGTAAGTTTAAATTCTTCTAGTACTAAGGAATGCTTAATAAGACATTCAAAATTCATTAGGAATAGTGAGTTTGTTATCTTATGTTTAAAAATATTTATCCTTTGTAACTTAAAAAAAAATGCTATTTTCATGCATCAATCAGTACAAGGTACACAGAAATTTTCTTTTAGAAATCGAGTTAATTATGCTTTTAGATTGTCTATAAAATGTATATCACCATACCTATTACACTCGGTTTTTCTTGAGCACATACTATGTTCTCCTACAAAGCTTTTTGGCTTAAAGGATCCTCCAAATGTTTGTATGGTAGCAGAATTATTATATCAACATAGCAGAGTCATGACAGCTAACAGCCTATCATATTAATCTTAAAATGCACCATTTTCAGGAATTTCTAACTCACCTCTAAAAAATATTCTTTGCTAAAACTTTATCAATAGGCTTATAATGCACCGGTAATCATATTCTCAAACTCAAGCATGCAGAAAAGCATTAATTTTGCAGTTTTATGCAACAGCTACATCTAAAAATGACAGCATTAGTAATGTATAAAGATGTTTTAGTATGAAAACAGTTTGTTCATGACAGTTCTTAAACATTCACATTAATTTTGTATGGGCTCCTCAGTACAGACTACAGTAATGAAAGGCTTTTTTTCATAACAGAAACGAAGCAAAACTAAAACAAAGGAAGGAATGCGACTCTTGCCTCACATTGTGATTATCTTTGCATTTTCCTCAGCATGCAGTGTGAGCCCTGAGACTACTGGCTGGGTTCATATTATACAAAATTTTGTGGCTGCAGCTGCAACCCACACACTGGAGTTGCCCGGCGTACTTGCCTTAGCCTTTTTTGGCAAGGTGGTGAGGAAAAGCGGCTCCACCTAACCACAGAGCCAACTCCTTCCTCACCCACCCAACGGCCAACTCTCCCATTTATTCTACAGGCAACACGAGTGCACTGAAGGCCGGCTGCTGTCTACAAAGCTGAGCTGCAGTAAAGTCCTGTTTGCATCAAGTGAGGAAAAGGGAGGGGGTAACAGTGAAAGCAGGAACCAGATAAAAAAAATTAAAAGCCAGATTTCTCCAGCTAAAGGTATTACGCAAGTTAGCTTGAAATTAACGTAAGATGGTAAAATTCACCCCCCCAAAAAAATCACTACATTTATTCTGAGCAAATGGTTCATACTCTGCACTTAATATTTAACACACAGATTAGAGACATTACAAACTGTACTTTAAAACCTGTTGCATCTTCCTTTTCCATTTCAGTTTCAAACTCTGTTGAAGAGGAAACAAGCACAGTATGGAAGGAAGGATGACTGCTCACAATATGACAGGGATCAGCTACCCGAGTAAGAACTTGGCTTTCAACTCCACAGAAGAAATTGAAGCCTTCATAGCTTCTCAAAACATCATATCAAGACTTATGCACTGTTACATCGCCTTTTTTGTACCATCAGGATTAATAGCTGGCATATGTATTTTGATCATTTTCATAAAGAATTATTTGCAGTACAAAGTCATAGAAAACTTAGACTTGCTTCTTCTACACTTCACCATCAGCAACATTATAATGATTTTTTTATCATTTACTGTCATTACAAGACCTGACTATTTAAATGCAACCCACCTCGCATGTAACGTACTGTCATTTTTTTTCAACTTCGGTTATTTCAATTCTCAGTATGCTTTCATTTTGACGCTACTCACACTATTACTCAAGAGTTTTCCACCAACAACTGCTCTCAGCAAAGCAACCCAAAGACCCATATTGTGTGTTGGATTTGTACTTATATGCGCCTTCTGTTTGTCACTGACCGCAGCAGTACTGGTCGGGGCAGATAACTATCACTTGGACACAGACTGCCAGTTAGATCCATTATTTGCACGGCCTGAATATGAGATTGTTAAATTCACCTTTGGATTTGGAATCCCATCATTTCTTCAGATACTCTGTTTCATTGTTCTCTTTGCTAAAGAAGCACCTGCCTTAAAACAGCACATTCGTACTTACCCTGCTGTGTATATTATAAGCACATCAATATTTATATGCCGCCTATTTTATAACGTTATGATTCTCTTCAGGACAACATTCAAATTACAGAAGAGCATTGGAACTCCAAAGAATGAGCTTGTGATGAATATTGCAGAAATAGTGTTGTTCTGCGAGAGCTGTGCTAGTTTGGTATTTATACTCTGTTTTCATAAACCATGCAAGGATGAACTACTTAAAGTCATACAGAACTGCCGAAGGAAAAACACTGCCAACAGTCACCTAGAAATACCTACAACCCACGAAAGTGGGTCTCAGTAATACTTGCTGTTCTGAATAACTGTCCATCCACTTTACTTTTTTGTTTGAGGGTTTTTAACTTCTTCAAAAAAAGGATAATTGTTCCTTCTTTAGAACCCAAACTTGGAGTATCTTACAGCTAGCAGTACTGGAAGGAAAAAAAAAAAAAAAAGATACTTAGTTCTAGTGTTTGCAGTGATCTATGAGAAAACATGTAGGGTCTGGAGTTGTTGGGGTTGGGGTTTTCTTATTTTTTTTTTTAATTGCCTATTTTCTGCAAGTGTTACTTCAAAGCCAAGTAGAAAGTAAGGTACTTTGTCATAGAAAATTTGCTTTTGTAATAATATCAATGCCCTGCCAAAGATCCAAACAAAAATGTAGCAAAAAGCAAATTTGAACAAATGTAAAAATCCACAGCCAAAGCATTTCCTCAGGTGTCCTTCCTCTTTTGACTTCTTACCCTACAAACTGCTTATTTTTATAAGATTGGTAAATTCCAACAGCAGCAGCAGTGAAGGATGGCTTAATAATTCACTATAATCCTGAAATAGTATGCGATACTGTAAGTCTACTGTAACACTTGTATTTTTTTATATATATATATATGCACACAAACTGAGCATTTTTTCCCTTTTTGCCATTTTCCTCTTATACTTTTGTTGGAACCCTTAAGGTTTTTGTCTGAATTCTTGTGCCAAAAAAAAAAAAAAAAAAAAAAAAAAATTAAAAAAACGGGGCCCAATTTTTTTATTCTACAGCTAGCAGTACTGGAAGGAAAAAAAAAAAAAAAAGATACTTAGTTCTAGTGTTTGCAGTGATCTATGAGAAAACATGTAGGGTCTGGAGTTGTTGGGGTTTTCTTATTTTTTTTTTTTAATTGCCTATTTTCTGCAAGTGTTACTTCAAAGCCAAGTAGAAAGTAAGGTACTGTTGTCATAGAAATTTGCTTTTGTAATAATATCAATGCCCTGCCAAAGATCCAAACAAAAATGTAGCAAAAAGCAAATTTGAACAAATGTAAAAATCCACAGCCAAAGCATTTCCTCAGGTGTCCTTCCTCTTTTGACTTCTTACCCTACAAACTGCTTATTTTTATAAGATTGGTAAATTCCAACAGCAGCAGCAGTGAAGGATGGCTTAATAATTCACTATAATCCTGAAATAGTATGCGATACTGTAAGTCTACTGTAACACTTGTATTTTTTTATATATATATATGCACACAAACTGAGCATTTTTTCCCTTTTTGCCATTTTCCTCTTATACTTTTGTTGGAACCCTTAAGGTTTTTGTCTGAATTCTTGTGCCAAAAAAAAAAAAAAAAAAAAAAAAATCAAATTAATGCAAACGCTGGTCCATAAAGGAAAGCTTCAGGTCCTTTGTGAGGCACTGAATTGGAAAGATCAACAGGATGGCTAATTAAAACTTTGTGCAAGAATGAAAGCTTTTTGTTAATGTACTCTCAGCTTCAACTTTGCATTAAGTCTTACAGCAATTATTGATTTAAGTCATTCTTGATGAGTCCATTCAGAAGTATGAAGTTGCATGCCTTGGAAGAGTCACATTCAATAATATACTAACTAAAAAAAAAAAAAAAGCCAGCTCAGAGCAATATAACTGAGGCATGTTTTTAAAGAGGCAAACAAAAGCAGAGCCCCAGTTCCAAACTGAAATCAGGGCTGTGCTAGAGACAAGACAGAAGCATTATACAGTCAAATGAGAAATCGTGGGTAAACGGTACAAAATGGGGAAAAAAGTCTGAATTGGAGAATAAAACAGCTGTGGCATAGTTCAGATGTAGCCCTGCAGAGTCAGTAGCCAATGTAGGCCAAGATGTAGGTACAAAGTTTTAAATGCTTGCTTTGAGCATACTGTTACTGTAATCTAATTTGGCCAGGAGCCACCTTACACGTTTGGCTTCGGTTTCAGCTTTGCCTCTCATAGAGGTGGAAAGAACAGAAACAACAGGGAAGGCACAAAACTGTACCAGATCTTGGATAAAGACAATAGACTTATATTGCAAAGTTATAAAAAACACAGCGATGTGATGAGGAAGGCTCAGGTGAAGGGTTCTGAGAAAAGCCACCTTGATGCTTAAATATGTGCCTTTGCATGACATCTGGATGCTAATGGAACTGACAGATTTTTTTTTTTTGAGTTGTATGCTTTGGGAGGTCTTCCTGACGAGGTCCAGATTTGCATGGAGAGCGGGTGCAAATCAGCATGGACTGCCTAGGACAGAGAAAACTGAGCACAGATTGATCAAGAGGAACATCTTCCACAAAGCAACAGCCAAGCGCATAAATGGAAGAATAAAGGACATTTGCTCAATAATAACACAGTATATATATCTAGCATCTAGATACATGGATCTAGTCTTAGACATCCAAGTCTTGAAATGTATGGATCATGACTGTATCAAATTATATCTAGCATCTAGATACATGGATCTAGTCTTGAAATGTATGAATCATGCGCAAATAATAGGAAATACATAGTCTCACTAACTACGACCAACATTTCTGCAACATGTAAAAATCAACTGGTACGATGTCTGCATTGTATTATGTCAGCCTGTCTTCCTGTTCAATTTTGTTCTGCTGCCAGCATGAACAGATGGATAATTAAAGAACACTACATATAAACAGACCGTTATAGAACCTGGTCAGAAAGGAAGTATGTCGATAAGAATCATCTCTCTGAATACAAAAGCCAATTTCATACTTGTGAAAGGATTTCTCAACTGGCATCAGAGGTTTTGTTTTGCACCTGAGAAGAGGGAGATTAAACAACATGAACTGAAGATTAGCCCTGCAGAAAGAAGTTTGAAGAGATGAGTTGTAAGAGATGCGTGTCAGTGAAAAAGCTGACTGAGTGAAAGAACGTCAGAAGATGCAAGCTGTTTACCCCAATTCAGACAGAATATCATCGTTTCAGCTGCACCATGTATAAGTAGGCTATTTTCTAGTATGGGAATTATGCATAAAGGATTCTATTTTATTCACTGCTTCTACATGTTTTAGATCTGAGGATGAAATAATAAATATTGTGTTGTTTCCGAGTCCTGAGTTACAGTTAAAGGTGTCTAAAAGAAAACATAGTCAGTAAACGTTTGCTCTAGTTAACGTTGGCTGGGACCTGGAAACTGGTCTAATGGTGAGTGAATCGCAACAGTGCACCTGAAAGGAGCCTGAAGGTTCAGTATGGGTGGAAGAATGCTTCATGATACTCTCAGCAAGGTACACAGCTAAACCATAAGCAAATGTCTCAGAGAAATAAAACCTGTAGCAGCCTGCTGTCAGATCTAAGATTTGGGGACGATTACATTTTGTCAAGAATGAAATGCTGTGTCTAAGCCTGTGAGTACTCCTGGGTATAGCTTCTGGCTGCCATCTGAGAGATGCAGGTGAACATACTCTGGTCTCTTCCCTGACCACAGCTACTGTTGTGAGAAAAAGCAGAGTATTTTCTGGATGGCTGGTTATATTGTCATAAAGAAACCTCTATGTACAATGAAAAGACTTTGTAATTGAATAGAAGAAAACAAAGGTAAACAGGACAGAAGAGTTTGAAAAATGGAGACTAGTAATTCAAATAGTTATGAATATAGCAATGCAGAAATGTTTTGTTAAACCATTCTTGATAAAGTTACTCAGATCTTACATTAGAATTCAGGGCAACAAACGTGCAGTCCTAGAGAAAAATCTGCTTTCATCCAGCTAGAATATGAGGGCTAACAGCCCTATGTGCAACAGGGGAAGGAACAGGAAAACAGTCCCCAAAAGGAATTCTAAAACAGTCTGATATGAGGAAGAAAAGAACTGCTTTGGCTAAGATTAAAAGTAATACTTTTAAAATGATTAATAATTTGAAGTGTATTTTTAAGAACAAAATAAAATCTCCCTGCTTGGAGAGCTTTTTTTCCCCCCTATACCAGCAACAGCTTTGTTGAACGCTTACTTCTTCCAAGCTTCACCTAGTTTTGAACAGTATGTTCCAGAAGAAATAGAGCATATATTTTTATAGGCACACTGTCAAAATTAACTAAAGGCATATACTGGAAAATTCAAAGAAGAGTATTTTACTTCTGTACTGGTAATATTCGTATCCTTCTAAGACTTTGGCCTGCTTTTGAAAAAAACCTTTCTGTTCAGTAAAAGAAGAGAAATGAGCAGGCTGCTGAAGTTTAAGCATGAATTTCTGAGTTGCTAAGATGTTTTGGAAAAGAACATGTAGAGACTAAGGACTCATATTTGCTGAACCAGCTGGCTCAAATTTGATCTGATCCCATGGCAAAACAACATCTGAGCTAAAGACAGACTGGATTCGCACACTTCAATCATAACTCGAGCTGCTACACCCCTACATGTATTACTAAGCCTGGCTTTAGTTACATTCTAATTTCAAATTTACAGACCCTGAAAGGGCTACAGCATTATTTATCTTGATTTTGAGGTCGTTGCAGAAGATTTGGGTGAAAGCTCAAGCAATTCAGCCAACATAAGTACTCTATATAAAGTTCACACCATGTATGTTGCACGACAAATTGATTCACTAATTGGCTAGAATGAAAGAATGCATTTCACTTCCACGGTACAAGTGTCCAGCAAAGGACAGCCATACTCAATTACTAAAGTAAAAATTATTGATGCTTTGCAAATTTTATTTTTGAATCACATTTGGATAGAGCCTGAAGTCCTATGATCCATTATCTTTCACCATAGAACATTTTGTGGTCCAATTTTGTAAATTTTTTATATTATCCACCAAGAGTTTTGCGATATACACTTTAAGAAAAATAAAAAGGTTTTACCAGAATAGTTTGAATGGATACAGGTGTTATCCGTGCAAAAGAAAAGGCTGAACTTTTAAAAATTATGTTTAGTAAGAAAAATGCATTCTTAAGAGTTATTGGCAACTGAAAAGCCTGAACATACAAAATACACTCTATACAGAACACAATTAATTCCAACTCAAGTTAAGTTTGATTGTTTGCAAGAAAGGGAAAGTTACTGACACTGGACAGGATAAAGTATTGGGGTGCTGTAGAACAGGGTAATGGACGCAGACAGATGTCATTCAGTGGTTGAAAAAGGTCAGAGTCAGTATCCACCCTAACAGAAAGATGGGAGTGAGTTTGGAAGAGGAGATCAATCTACTTGCAAAATTTCATGAACGTTACAACAGCATCTGTATTTCCTCTGGTGATAATTTTGGTAGAGATTCTTACACAAATCTTATTTCTTCTGCATATGGATATATTACACTGCAAGCATTGC